CCGTTTAAGTATATAAAGCAATAGGATTATCATCTATTTTTCATCTCTTTTAATCAGTTTAAGTATAATAAACAATAAGGTTATAATATATTTTGCACCTCTTTTAATCAACGTTATTTTTTAGTCAAAATATTAAAATAATTAATATATTATTTCACTAACACATTTATCCTAATTTAAATTTGATTTTAATATATATATTTATTCCTTGACACAAGCGAGAATAACGATTTTACTTATTATTGTTCACCATATAATACATAATTATTATTTTATTATACACTTTATGTCATATAATGTCATTATTATTTATAAAGTTATAGAAGTTGTACGTCTTCTTTATATTTTTATTATATGTAATGAAAAATATTTAATGCACGTTTGCATTATTTATTTATGTAATCAATTTAAAATAAGTAAATAAATTTAATATTAAATAGTGTATAAATATTTTACAAAATATACACATGTTTTTTTAGAATTTAATTTTATATACTAATTAAAAAACTTTGATTTAGAAAATCCCAAAAACTCGATCTCCTATATGATCAAGATTTTTCTAGTTCGCATTAAAAAGATTTATGGTTTTTTTAGCATACTCAACAATGAAAATATATTTTACAAGAATTTAATTATAGAAATAAATCAAAATAAAAAAATGAAAAAATATAGTCATGGGTGCCAATAATATACAAATAAATGCTAAACAATAGTTAATATGTTTCAATTTAATTTTTTACCGTTAGTAAAACTAATTATTGTATCTGGTCATTATCTCTTAAATGGTAAATTATATTAATTTGAAGAACGATTTATTTTTTATATTTAACAAAATAAAGCTTAAGAAACAAATATATTGACAAATATTAATTCGCCAATCTTATTTTGTTTGATTACTTGGATAAAAAATTCTACCTAATTTTTTACGATTTTTCATAAATATTTTTGGATAAAAAGTGAATATTTGTGAAAAAACTAATATTATTTAAAATATGGTGTAATATTATCTTGACCAAAATATTATCAACATGGATCACATAAATCAATCTTGTAATTCATTATAATAAATATCAATGAAAGTATTACAAATATTAATAAAAATAATATTTGTCTTGACCAAAATATTATCAACATGAATCACGAAAATCAATCTTGTAATTTATTATAATAAATATAAATTAAAATATTGCAAATATTAATAATTTATTTAAGTAATTATTTGATCTTATTTGATAACATGTAAATAGAAGCAATTAATGCATATATAAAAAAAATTCCAAAAATAGCATGCATTAAATGTTTCCTAAATTTTTGCTACTATTTTTAGTAAATGTTAATTCTTTATATATATATATATAGATTTTTCATCCGCATGTGTTTCGATTGACACAAAAACAAGTGAACTTATTTTTGTAAGGAATTTTTCCACCCAAATTTATTGGAGAAAATTAGAAAGTTAACAAAATGTTAAGCCATTAAAAATTACGAAGTAATTAATAACTTATAAAAAAATATAAATAAAAATCAAATTGTTATTATAAAAACTACCCAAAATATAAAATGGAAAGAAATGCTTATATAATTAACGAACAATTACTACTCTCTCTCATTAAATGGACTTTTAACAAATGACAATTAAGCCATCAAAAAATTAAAAGAGTAAGGGTAATTTTGTCTATCTAAATTTTTGCAAAAACATTCACCTTTAAGTAATATAAAATAAATATAAATAAATAAATAATATAATATAAATAAATAATATAATATAAATAATAAATAATAAATATAATATAATATAATATAATATAATAATAATAATAAATAAATAAAATAAATATAAATAAATAATATAATATAATAATAATATAATATAATATAATATAATAATAACAATAATATAATTAAGTTAATTAATAATAATTATTATTATAAGTTATTATTAAGTTATTAAGTTATTAGAGATTAGAGAATTAGAGATTAGAGATTAGAGATAGAGATAATTCACATAAAAAACCACAAACCTTTCTTACATTTTTCTCCCTCCAACAAAACCAATCAAACCCCCTAAAACTATATTGCAAATAACCAACCACACTTAAAAACTTTCAAGTACATACACATATTACTACTACCTACCTACACACATTATTATGCCCCCAAAGAAACACTTTTTAACTGCATCAGATTCAGACATAACCCCCATCAGTAAACACACCAAAACATCAGCTACCGTCGAGTCCACGTGTCAGGCTGGGGAAGGATTCTCGAGCATGTATACGACCTCACGCATCGTGGGCCTTCTCGAGCTGTCGTCCGCCACGCACATCATTGCAATCCTGAACAGGCCAACGACCGAGTCCAGCGAGTACCCATTAAGCCGTGGATCAATCACAGCCAGGACCAAAGTGAGGTCCTTATGGGCCGTTGACAGCTCGGATTTTGTTTTCGCAACCCACCTAACAATGTCCACTCCTTCCCCAAACCCACCAACGGGCTTTCGGCCCGTGATGAGCTCCAGCAGCACAACACCAAAGCTGTACACGTCACTTTTCTGGTCGATTTTCAGAGTGTACGCGTACTCTGCTCAATGTGCATGTAGTAGTCCAAGTTAGAGCTCGTGTGTTGAAATATTATGATAGTAATTCGTAATAATTAATAAAAATAAT